CTGGAGGAGAACCTCTATCGGTCCACGTGGCAGACCACAGCGAGAACCTCGTTCCTCATCGACGAAGGTGCACGATCGAGCCACCGTTTTTCGCCCTGTGCTCTTCCGAAGATGACGACAGTCTCGTCTGATGCAATGGACTGTTGTTGGCGTGTAGTTAAACGTGTCGCACTCGTGACGAGACACGTGTTCGAGGTGCATGCAAGAAGAAGGCGAAAGAATATTGCCTAGCTGTCTACTATAGTAATTTAGGAATGAGGTTGCCCCCGCAGTTTCGCAGGGGGACTGATGGAGGTTCTCCTCTAGCCGCGATGACTTCGTCGCGGTCCACGTCTCACCACGGCGCGAACCTCGTTCTGCATCGACGAAAGTGCACAAGTGGGCCACCTTACCTCGCCTTCTTCTTGCATTCAGCTTCATCGCGAGTGCGACACGTTTGGGACCGCGGGCGACACGTTTGCCTTGTCATGAACGGTAGTCCATTGCAACACGCACGATCGCGAGTACGACACGTGTGCGATCACACTGCTCTTTGCCCATATGAACCGACCACTTCACCTACGCATAGGGGACCCCGGATATCGCTATCAGACGTCAGATTCTTTTCATCGATCCAAGCAAGCTCATGGCAGCACCAATGCACTGAGACGAACACGGAGATGTCCATCCCGTGGCAAGCAGATCTGTTCGTCAAAATAGTTAGTGCGGTTGGCGTCGGTGACCCAACTCGTCGGCGCGTGGCGCACACTGGCGGCAACAGGTTTCACCTGGGAAGACACAACTCCATGTCACCCGCGTTCGCCTGTGCGAACGGCTCCCCGGACAACATACGAGGAGTCTCTGCACTGTGGTGTGTTGAATTGCCACGTGGCTTGCAGCTTTCCGCCTGTCGGCGCGCCAGTCTGTTACCAGGTGTCGTGTGATCTTCCGCCCAAAGAATATCCATTTTAGCGCGGCGCTAAAGTGGATATTCTTTGGGCGGAAGATCACACCACACGTGGCAACAGACTGGCGCGCCGACAGGCGGAAAGCTGCAAGCCACGTGGCAATTCGACACACCACAGTGGAGAGACTCCTCTCTCTCTCCCTCTCTCTCTCCCTCTCTCTCTCTCTCTCTCTCTCCCTTCTTCCCACTCTCTCTCTCTCTCTCTCCCCCTCTCTCTCTCTCTCTCTCTATCTCTCTCTCCCTCTCTCT